GGGGGTGGGATGCAGCACAGGTGGTCTGAGTGGAGCAGTGGTGGCCCTGCTGTAGCCTCCTGCACTGGGTCCTGCCTGCTGGGCCCCAGAGGTGGCTCCTGTCCATGCTGGTCCAGCCAGGCTGCAGCCCTGTGCCCACTGTAGGTGCACAAATCGGGGGAGGCATACCCCCCCCCCCAATATATTACTTGTGGTCTGCCCAACCCCCACATTGTCTGTACCACCCCCCCCACACACACACCTTAAGACTTTTCTGTGGGGAACTGTAGGAGCTGTTCTTCATGCTGCCTGGCTGGCACATGCATGGCCCCCTGCCTGATTACCCTCCTCCTGCTCCCCCCAGCCCCAAGCAGCCCCTTGCAGGCTGGAGCTCTGCCAACCTGCAAGAGGAAACCTGCCATTTCCAATGTTTTTTGTCCTTTAAAAGGAGAATCCATTTTTAACGTTTATCCACAACACTTTCATATATTCTCGAGACCCACAGGCTGAGAAACGGTGTTCTAGTCTATCCTCATTTGGGTCCTGTGTCCCAGGAGCAGATGAGAGGCTGAGTTGTGACCTGAGGGCCAGGATTGTTCCCCTGCTCTCTCTTTCCTCTTGGAGAGTAAATTTACCTCACCCCTTTCCATCAAGTAGCCTGCTCTCAACTATGTACCCCACAAATGGAAAGGAAGCAGTGCAGCCAGCATACTTGCTGCTGCCACATTAGTTGCAGGAGGGGCAGCAGGCAACTAAGTCTTGCTGTCCTCCAGACATAGTCTATCTAACCCAAGGGGGAGAACAAGGAGATCAAATAATGGAAGCCTTACTTTCCTATCAAGCAACAAAGGCCCAGCTAATCCTGTTAACTGGTTGAAAGGTGTGTCCTATAGATGCAGGATAAATTTACAGTTCAGGTCCCAGAAAGATTTCCTTGAAGATGGCACAAAAGCTTTTGATTAAAGGAAAACACCACCCAGTCAGGTAGTGCCGTGATGGAACCAGTAGATTGGGGGGTTGCAAAGGACAGTGGCTTTGAAATAATATTGCAGTTTAAAAGAAACTAGAATACATGGGTTGTGCCAAACCCATCACCAGCCGTTTCACAGGGTGCTGAGAAATTTTTGCAGGGTATTGATTTTTCCACCACCCTTTAATAAGCAACTGTTTATTTCACAATATTTAAGGTTGCAAAGATTCCACAAGTGGTGCAGCAACAGGCTACTGTCGCCAATATTCAGCAGATGGTTTCGGTTTCCCAGCAGGTGAGGGCCCAGCCGGAGATACGCTCTCTGTCGCAGACTTTGTTTTTCATTTGGAGAAGTATATTTATTTTCTTTCCCATGTACAATATGCCTTATTTGTTAACTATTTTAGCATTTTTATCAGCTTCTATAGAAATTAAAACTGCAGCTACTGGGTCAACTGCTAGTTTCTTTCTGTGCTTGCTAACTTCACTTGTTGTAGGTACTGGGATAATACCTTTTAATTGCACTTGATCGACTGCAGGCAGCTTCTCTCATCTTCTCTTGAGCTGCAAAAAGTTGTGCTTCCTCATCATACTCTGTAACCAAAGCTGGAGGATGACCCAGAAGAGAACTGAAGTCGAGTGTCTGACTTTAACACAAAGGGGAAAGAGATTATTAAAACAAATGGGATACTGTACTAAGTTACAAGTTGCGTAGTTATTTCCTAGTGCCCAAAATGCAAGAGATGTTTCCCAGAAGACTGAACAATGTGCTAACTGTCGTAAGCATTCAGTACAGCATGGATGGGCATGGACAAAGAAGAGTGAGACAGAGAAAAGAGAACATAAAACCTTACTAACTGATAGTTTGCTTGGAATTACTTAGAATAATGTCTTTCAGAACAGTAGTAATAAATAGGGCTTTGGGTACAGAAAAGTGTAGTGGCTAATATCAAAGGATACCAATATAAGCTGTTTGAATGCCACTATTACACCTGCATGATTCTGTAGTGATACAAGTGTAAAAAGCCACTGCAGCTTGCCCCAGCTTCATTCAGGGTCCAAATTAGTGTTGCAGTTTGGGCAATTAATTTCCACTTTGATCACTACTGGATTGTGTGAAATAAAAGTTGCAGTATAACAGGCGATATACACTCGAGCAGCAGCTCCTCCCGCCCCTTTTAAGGGCAGCTTTTTGTGTGTCCATACCCGTGATTCTTTTTCAGCAGACATCGGCATTCTGGGTAGGGTTTTCATAAGTGATGGAGGTTGGCTTTGTTCTGCTTTCACTAGACTGGTGGTTGCTTTACCGTGAGTATCAGTGGGAGAGAGTTTTGACCAGTTTGAAAATACTGCCTTGAAAGTCTGTCTTACCTGTACCCTTAGCATGGCACTTCACAGTGGCCGGGCTTCCTCTTTGACTGACAGGGAGCTGCCCCACTCCCAGTGAGACTCGGGCATTCTTCTGCAGCCTGGATTTGTTTCTCCCTTCCTCTTGCTGCTGTCGAGGAAGGCCGTAACAGCTGAAGCTACCCTACAATAGAGAGAATTAATGAATTTTGCTTTTAATTCTGAACCATCTTTCTATCTGTCCTCTCATCCTCTGTGCATAGGTTCAGGCACAGCCCCAAACCGTGACGCTGTCTCAGACCACTGCAGGCCAGCAACAGGTTCAGGTGATCCCTGCAACAACTGCAACAGCTCAAGTGGTGCAGCAGAAGCTGATACAGCAGCAGGTTGTGACAACTGCTTCTCCCCAAATCCAAGCCTCCGGTGTGCCGAACCCAGTCCAGGCCCCCGTAACCTCGGAAGCACCAAATCAGCAAGCAAAGGTGCAAATGAGGACACCTACGGTCAGATTAAAGGCACCCACCAAACCGAGCTGAACTAGTAATTCAATTGCAATAAGCAGGGAAAAGCAGTATTTCATGTTTGCCAAGCCCCCCTGGTGAGGCAAGCAGCAGGTTCTCCGCGGATCCTCATTCCAACCAAGACAAATCGCCTCTATTGTTTTTAAATTGAAGGGTTTTGCTGGTGAACATTTCAACACGGGGAAACTCTCCAAGCATTTTAGCGGGTCAGAAAAACGTTTCACCCGAGGCACGTTCCACTCCAGCAGAGACTCTCCTCGTCTGCAGACGTCATAACTTCTGCCCAGCTTCATGAAAACCAAACCACGGATCCCTTCAGTGTCAGTCTAATTCATCTATGTTAGCGTATTGTATAATTGCCAATGAGCAAGTGCAATCCTTTGCTATAATGTGGACGAGTGTTTATTGTCCATTGCAAAGCCACACAGACAGTTGATGTGTGGTGAGCATAGCAGAGTATTTCCACCTGTCTGACAGCTGCATGTAGCGCTCACTTGCGGTGACCATCCATCAGAACTCCTTTCTATTGAAGTGCTCCCTGCAGAGTTTAGCCAATAAATGTGAAACCTTGTAAGTACGTGTAATTAAGAAGAACCATGTTTCATTCTCCATTTTTGTAAGTCTTTTAAAATGTTTGTTAGTAGTTTTGTGTACAGTTTCCTGAAGCAGCCAACCTGTGCCCTCGCTCTCATACTTCACTTTAAGATGATAGATATTCTAGGCATGAACTGAATAAATGCTGTGTTGATAGTAGATGTGTATTAAAGTGTAGCCCATTTTTATGGAAACAGATTGTTCTGTTGGTTTCTCCGTGCTGTTTCTCACGGGACTTCCAGGTAGGAAGATCTCAAAACAGATGAAGTTGTATATGCTTCTTTTTCTTCTTCTTTTGCGACACGTTTGAATGTTTGGTACTTTCTACTTGGCTGTCAGCTTTAAGGGGTGGGTGCAGGGGCGAATAGGAAATTTTAAATCTACAACTAATCCTGCGATCGTGTAAAGAATAAGATCTAACTTTTGCACTATTCTTTTACTAAAGCTCATGACGAATGTATCTTCAGGTGGGTATTTTGGATCCTGATCAAGCGTGGCCTCTTCCTCCACCTCTGTTTGTCTTATTGCTTTGAATATTGCGCTGCATCGAACTGTGGGAGTTCACTTTTCTTTTCCTTCTGTTGCATCGAGCTGCTGGCAAACAAAAGCCCATCTGCAACCAGCACCACACAAGGATACAGCAGGCTCTCACAGGTGGAACAGATTGATTCGACTTGGGCCGCAAAACTGCAGGAGAAAAAGACGCATGGAAATTGTTACAGGGGTGTAAGTTGTAGCTGTGTTGGTCTAAGGACACAGGCAGACTTTAACCCTCAGCTTCCTGGCGAAAGGGTTGTGTCCCTCCGTTCAGGGGCAGACACATGGCAAATTTAGCTTCAAAAGGAATCAGAACTTGTGGTGATATCTAGTTAGTCTAATAAAAGTTTTTTGCAAAAAGAAAATAAAATTAATTGCAAACTTTTGGGCAGGAATGTAGGGTCAGGAAGGCATTTTACCGATGGTCTGGGGGCATCTACACCTGCATCAATGCATCTGATGCTGGGGTATAGGATGTAGCCGCGTTGGTTGGACAGAGGCAGACTTCAACACCCCCCTGGCTAGAGTGGGGGGGTGCCCCTCCTCTGCACAGGGGCAGACCCATGCCAAATTTTAGGGTCTGGAAGGAATTTTACCCCATGGTCAGCTTGGTGCAAATTTGCATCTAATGCTGAAGTGTAGGTTGTAGCCGTGTTCATCTAAGGACAGAGGCAGACTTCAAGCCCCAGGTTTGTGCCTAGGGTGGCCGTCATAGAAGACAGCCTGGTTGCCCTCTGTCCTCTATTGATACGAAACCCAATGCCTTTTATGTCCTCGCTTTTTCTCTTCAAGAGAAAAAGCGAGGACGTAAAGGTGTCCAGTTTTGTATCAACAGAGGACAGAGTGGCATAAAATGGGAATGTCCCCTGTGATGGCTGCCCTATTCCTGGCGGGAGGGTGGTGCCCCTCTGCTCAGGGGCAGACCCGTGCCAAATTTAGGGTCAGGAAGACATTTTACCCCATGGTCAAGTTGGTACAAATTTGCATCTGATGCTGGGGTGTAAGTTGTAGCTGTGTTGGTCTAAGGACATAGGCCATGTTGATCAAGCCCCAGGTTCCTAGCTAGAGGGTGGTGTCTCTCCACTCAGGGCCAGATCCATGCCAAATTTAAGATCAGGAAGGAATTTTACCCCCCAGTCTTGGGGCATCTACACCTGTATTAATGCATCTAATGCTGGGGTGTAGGTTGTAGCTGTGTTGGTCTAGGGATGCGGGCAGACACGGTTCTTTGGGTGAATCTGGTATCTTTTTACTAGCCCAACTTTGCTGGAAATTGTAATGTTCTGCTTCCGAAAATGGATTTTCTTTGTGGTTGAATCCTCCTCTCCCTCCCCATTTTGTGTGTCCCTTTTAAACATTACTGTCTGTATTCTGTCCTTGCTACCCCACGGATACGCAGCCCTGCAGCTTAGGGATGCATCATGACTTATCCCTATGTTTTAAGCAAGACGTGTATCGAGAATAGGGCACCCGTCATAGAGGACATTCCAGTTTTCTGCTCCTCTGGCGATACGAAACCCTGTGCCTTTGTATCCTCTATTTTTCTCTTGGGTTGTTCTCTTATTATGCGAAACCTGGCGCCTTTACGTCCTCTATTGATACGAAACCCTGACGCCTTTATATCCTCTATTTTTCTCTTCAGGTGTCCTCTATTGATATGAAACCCTGTACCTTTATATCCTTCACTGATACAAAACCCGATGCCTTTACGTCCTCTATTTTTTCAGGGCAAATAGCCCTCTATTACGTCCTTCTCTTCATCTTTTTCTGTTGAAGACAGAAAGGCGCCCGGTTCCCTTCTGCCAAGAGAAAACCAGAGGCCATAAAGGCGTCGGGTTTCGTCTCAACACAGGACAACCGCGCTGTCCCCTACGATGGGCCCCCCTAATGAAGAACGAGTTAAAAAGGAAGATCTCCCTTCTCCTTTCCAGCCTTTCCTTCCCATCCCCCCGCGCGTCCCGGGCGGGCTCTAGGCCCCTGCGCTGAGCACCAGCGGAAGCGGAAGTCGGGGACTTCCGGCGCGCGCCACGTGGGCCGGGCCGGGCCGAGCCATGGCTGCGGGCTGCGAGGAGGCGGCGG